TTTGGTTTTTAAGAAGTAATTGGCAAAATTCTCAACCCAACCTGGGGACTATTATTTTGATGAATCCAACCTGGGGACTATCATTTTGATGTACACAACCTGGGGACTATTATTTTGATGTACACAACCTGGGGACTATTATTTTGATGTACACCAACCAGGGGACTATTATTTTGATGTACACAACCTGGGGACTATTATTTTGATGTACACAACCTGGGGACTATTATTTTGATGTACACAACCCGGGGACTATTATTTTGATGTACACAACCTGGGGACTATTATTTTGATGTACCCAACCTGAGGACTATTATTTTGATGTACCCAACCTGGGGACTATTATTTTGATGTACCCAACCTGGGGACTATTATTTTGATGTACCCAACCTGGGGACTATTATTTTGATGTACCCATCCTGGGGACTATTATTTTGATGTACCCAACCTGGGGACTATTATTTTGATGAACCCAACCTGGGGACTATCATTTTGATGTACACAACCTGGGGACTATTATTTTGATGTACACAACCTGGGGACTATTATTTTGATGTACACAACCTATTGATATCCACAAAACTGCCTAACCCCATTCTTGAAACCCGGGTTTCAAAACTGGTTTTCATAACGATACCCTGTCTTAAGTTTTGGGCTCTAGGGATGCAGTAGGCCTAGAGAAACATAGGATACACCATAGACCTAGGGATGCAGGGGATACACCATAGACCTCACAAACAGCCTCATCAATTTTTGAAGTGTCCCAACGCCTTGGTTTAGATTTTACCGCTCTAACTCACTCATGTTTTTCTATAGACCTTTACATGTACAGTTTAGCATTATATAGCACTTGTTGTTAGCTTTGGTTTTTAAGAAGTAATTGGCAAAATTCTCATCGATTTTTGCTTAAGAGCGTGAGACCTTTAAATCACATTGACCTAGGGATACAGGGGATACACCATAGACCTAGGGATACAGGGGATATGCACCATAGACCTAGGGATACAGGGGAAATTCAACATAGACCTAGGGATACAGGGGAAATTTAACATAGACCCAGGGATACAAGGGGTACATTGTAGAACTATGGATACAGGGGATTTGCACCATAAACCTGGGATACAGGGGGTATATTGTAGACCTATGGATACAAGGGATTTACACCATAGACCTAGGGATACTGGGGAATATTGTAGGCCTATGGTTACAAGGGATTTACACCATAGACCTAGGGATACTGGCACAGTGGGGCTGAAGGAAATCAAGACTTTTTGATGTACCCAACCTGAGGACTAATATTTTCTGAATCTGTATGTCTCTACTGAACTAATGAGCTATAAAACCAAATTTTCCAATGAACTAAATTGATAACTTTAAAATTGGTAACGAAATAGGGCATACATCTTAAGTAAAGTGTGGCCTAGTAAAATAGAGTATACGCAGTAGGCCCATCCAAGCATGCTACACAGTGCCCACCTGGGCCCCTTAATAGTGTGTGTCGAGAGGAGGGGAGGGGGGAGGGGGGAGTATTTTATATGAAGGAAGACAGACTTGGGGCCTAAAAAGGATTTAGCAAATGTCTAACACAATACAACACAAATCTTGGATTTAAAGAAAGAAATTAAATTCATTTTTAAAAGATTAAATAAGATTAAATATTAAATCAAGAGTCAAGACCCCTTATTAGACTTTTTTATTGGTTAAACGTCACGAAGTTTATCAAGCTTTGACAATCAAATAACAATTTGGACACAGAAGGACATTATTGATGTTTTTATAACGTATGTAAATTCTCTTTTATACGGATAATTTTCCTCTCTTCTAGGATACTTCTTTTCCATTCATATTTTTCCTTTATTTTCAAAAATGTTTATCAACTTTCATTCTCTTCTCTCATTCCCTTTATCTCCCATTCCCCCGTTTCCAACCTTACCACCATTTAATGTTTTCTTTTATTGTCTTTAAGGAATTTGAGACTTTGCCACAAACTCTGATCTTCTAATCCCTTTATCCTGTAATATCAAAGGTTTACGACATTGGGTTCCAAAGATATTGGGATTAGAAAATCAGAGTTTGTGGCAAAAACTCAATTCCGTTGTCCAAATTATTGCTTTTTATATCGTTTTATCGTTTCTTCGCTTAATACTTAACATGCAAGGAACAAGCATATCTTTGTTTACATCAAGGATGTAATGCATTACACCCTTTGTTTACATAATAAATGTACTGCAATTTTTGAAGGGATTATATAAACAAACCCAGAGCCCAAAAATTAAGACAGGGTATCGTTCTGAAAACCAGTTTTGAAACCCGGGTTTCACGAATGAGGTTCAGTCAGTTTTGTAAATATCAATATTTTTGTTATGAAATATTATTTTATTCAGTTTGTTTATATTCTCAATTTTTTTCGAATTTAGTATTTTGATTTGTAAACAAAGATACATGGCTGGGGGTATTTGGGGGGTTTCTGCTCAATATTTCTTGACATGTGTGTAATACTTAAGAACCATTAGAAATTAAACTCATTCTATTCTCTATCAGGGGCGTACTGAGGAGTACCCTATACTCAGGGGGTAATTGTTCTGGG